GTAAAGGGGGGGGGGGGGGGGTGTTGCTGGGAAGGAAGGGAAAGGAAAAAACGGCAGTTTTACTCCCTAGGTGGAGAAGCCAGCAGTCTTAAGGCTTGGCAAGATAAAGTTGCCAGGTGCTACTCATGATTTCTGGGAAGGCCAAAATATAGTAAAAAAAGGGACTTTGAGAATTAACCTGTACCAAAATATTCAGCAAAGGAATTTTGAAACCTATAAACAAAAAGGCATATAAAGCCTCGGACTCCCTCCCAACTCACTCTTCAGAATAGCTGAGAACCCATCTGTGCTTCATAACCAGAGATACAGTTTGCTAGCTTTGCTTCTTTAATAAAGGTGCATGCTTTATAAATGGGCTTTCCACAATATAGTTAAGGTCTCTCGTATAAATTCATTTATATGAGAAGATAAGGATTGAGGTTGGAAACAGCCTTCTCCCACTGACTCAGGGCACTGTCCTGGAACACCTCTCTGGAGTTGGTGAGAGGTGCCTATAATACCTTCCAATGTGATGGTATAAGACAGTGATGGCGAACCTATGACACACGTGTCAGAGGTGACATGCGAACTCATTTTTTTGGTTGATTTTTCTTTGTTAAATGGCATTTAAATATATACAATACATATCAAAAATATAAATCTTTGTTTTACTATGGTTGCAAATATCAAAAAATTTCTGTATGTGGCACGGCACCAGAGTAAGTTAGGGTTTTTCAAAATGCTGACACGCTGAGCTCAAAAGGTTCACCATCACTGGTATAAGAGGTCAGTGATTGGGATTAGATAAGTTCATGAGGATGGAGTCCTCATTAACGGGAATGTTGCTCTTATAAAAGACCTCACTAAGCTCCCTAACCCAGGGTGAGCAAACTTTTTGACTCTAGGGCCACAATGGGTTCTTAAACTGGACCGGAGGGCCGGAACAAAAGCATGGATGGAGTGTTTGTGTGAACTAATATAAATTCAAAGTAAACATCATTACATAAAAGGATACGGTCTTTC